CTGTCTTCCACTGATAGGACTCTTGTTTGTTCCTGTGATGTTAATAGGAAAATCCAGGGAGGGGAGGAAAATAATAAGAAAAACAATAGAAGCTGTCTTCAGAGGTTATTTCTCATGTCACATACATACTATACAATGAAAAATAACAGCTCTACGTGAAGCTTTCGGGCTGATATTTTTTAACTTGAGACTGTGCCCCAGATTTATAATGTGGGTAACTAAAGCATGGAGGGTCATACAGGTAATTGATGTGAGGTTATCAACTCCTAAACCAACATCCTACATTTTGGAAAAACATTTCTGTCTTAGATATTGGACAAATATTTCTGTGCTCCTTCCAAGAACAACCCTGGTTTTGGGACTGACATCTGTAGTTGATGTGACTGAACCCAATGTTTGTATGCATGGCTTTGTAATGCATCCCTTAGGTTGAAAAGCACTAACGTGCTTTCCTGGTGAAGGGAAAAGTATAAAATCAGTTGAATTCTGCATTCAGGAAATACTGAAAAAAATCTTTTAGTTGTTTTCTGTAGCAATTTCTCTGTCAGTGGGAGTGGTGTTAAATAAAGGAGCAGCAGAAGCCTGAATGCACAAAGAGATTCCATGTTCTTACACGCTTCATCCTGTCACCCACCAGCGTGAATGCGGGGCTCGGAGAGCTTTCTTCTTACAGATGTAGTCTCAGTCTCTTTCTCCTCCTAGTGTGTACCCAAACATATTCTTCAGGCTGTTGTGAAAGTCATATTCTGGTTTTACTAATCTTACGGGCTTCGTATGTACTAATTAGTTGCTGCTTTTTGATGACGGTCTGGTTGTTTAGCTGGTGCTTTTTGGGATTAGGACATCTGCAAATCATGAGGCTGAGACATACAATTTTGTGTGGTTTTTCTCTCTTTTGCTTTGATTGAAGTGATATCAGAAGGGCTAAGAACTGAAAGGGAAGAATGAAGTGCTCCATACAATCCCCAGTCTCTAAAATGTATTGATGTAAAATGTAAATTTTAAATTTACATCTGTAAATGTAAATTAATACATTCTAGTTACAGTACTTTATCTGAGAATCTCGAAGCACTTTGATAAGCTGCAAACGCTGCCTTGCAAACACTTGTAAAGTAGGGAAATACTGTTCTCCCTGCCCTGCCTCTTTCTTTAAGTGAATAGGGAAACTGGAGGAATAGGTCAAAGCTTTGGATGACTACAAGGGGCAACTGCTTAACAAGCTGAAGATAATTCCTTTGTCTGTTGGTTGGTTGTCCTCTGCCTGAGGAGCAAGACCTTTTTCCTTCCCTGTTTAATTGTGCAGAGGTCCACTGTAGCATGGAAAATGTAAAGGTGTAATGTTGTTCTTTCTTTTGTAGCTGTGCTAGTTAAAATGGCAATCTTCAACAGTTTATCGGAGAAAGTGTCTTACTTTCAAAAAGCATTGTTTAGTAGTCATTAGACCTGTTCTTAGAAGTGGGTATTTACAGTAGCCTGTGATGAGAGCTCACCTCTCTGTTGTCTGGGTAAGGAATCCAGACACTTGTTGTGCTATACGCCTAGAGGTAGATGGCATAAATCTTCCTTACAAAGGATTAAAAATTGTTCTTATTTCTGAGGCTTAATTTCTTAATTGTTCTGTTGCATTTAGCACCTCTATGGTTTCCTGAATAACAGGAAACATTCATTGATTGTGTTAAGTTTATAGTTATTTTTAATAACTCAAATTTTATCACTGCGCTGTGGGTGAAATGCTAGCCAGTCATATAGTGAAGGGATTTCAGTGTTCTGCGTGGCTCAGGGTTATCTTCAGGTTGGGTTTTTTGGGCAGGGGCTTTAGTCCATGATGGCTGGCTTCCAGTGCCTTCTTTCTGCATGTGCTTTATCACCTTAATCTCTTTAGTTGAGACTGATCTCCCACAGAATACAGCCCAGAAGTCTGCACCTTGTGATCCCTGTTCTAGCATAACTGACTGCTCCAGCACAATTGAAACCCATTTAAAAGACTTCCATTCTTGATGTAAGAACTGGAAATGATAGTTTACCGCGACATCAGTATTCTCAGTACCTTATTTGCATCTTTCACTTCAGCTTCATTAATTGCCTAATGATTCATCCAGTTATTCATCTAATTCTCTTGTTAAAAGCTGTAGCAGGCTTTGGTGATACCAAACAAGTTTAATTAACATATCATCAACAGTTAAGAGCTTTTTGCTTCTCATATGATGAAGACATTAGCTGCCTAAATTTTGTTACTGCCACTGTGAAACTTGACCTTAGCTTTGGAGCAGGACGCTTTCTGGTGCTTGCTGCAGCCACATTAATTGTTGCGAAATCCTGAAGTGAAGTTACTGTCACAACTACAGCGTGACAATTTTGTGATCAGCGTGATTTGGTGATCAGCTTTCACCCCTGCATCCCTTTTACTTGCATTTGAAATACAATTTTGGTAAGGGTTGTAGAGAGGATGACGGAGTCAGGCCATCACCCTCCTTTCTGCACATGATCTTAGTATTTTGGATGTACATGCAATGCATGCAGTCTTGTTCTCAACTTATTGTTTACAACCAGACACATCAGGGCTGTCCGGCATGCAGCTCAGAAAACTCAAAACCTTTTTGTGTGCTTTACTGATGGATTTAAGACTCCTTTACTGCATTTTTTAGAGGATAAATAAATGTATAGAAGGGAAACAACATGTCTTATGTTGAGCCATAAGACCTGGAGTGGAACCTTTGTTTTCTTTACTTCAGTTCTTTTGCTCTGTCTATTGAGCAACACTGCTTGTAACAGTGTGCATCTGTGAGGAGTGTTTTACAGCATCTTGGTAGTGTTTGCACATGGAGTTTGCTAGCGAATCATTGGCAAAAGTTCTTTTGCAGCAGGTTACTATAGTGACATCCCAGAGCAAAATGCTGGGTAGAGTGAATGTACCCTCTTTCAACTTTCCCTTTGTTAAATGGGTCTGCAGATCTCCTGCCATCTGTGGTGTCAGAAATTCGTGCCATTCTAATAAGCACCCTGAAACACTTTAATCCTTGTAAGAGCCGGGCAAATTAATAAGCAAAAGGAGAAGAAAACCTAATCAGGCTTCTTAATCTAAATGCCTCTATTTTTTTTTCTCTTCTCTGCTTCTTTTGGGCTCTGTATGGGCTGCTCAGTGTACTGAAGGAACAAACTACTTACAGTATTTCTGTGCTGCTTAGCCTCCTAAGCTTTCTCTTCTGCAGAAAGGCCCTGAACTTTACAGCAAGGAGCACCATCAGAATGCTATCTGAAGTTGTTCTTGGACTGGGCAAATAATCTCTTCCCTCCTTATGCGATGTGTGGGGGGTCCTTGTAGGCCATTCAGAGCAGAATCCATGTTGTCGCTACAGAAATGGGGCTTTACCGAGCTCTGTCTCTCGATGCCTGATCAGACATTTTCAAATGAGGAGAAGGGTGACCTTCTGGCTTCCAGGGCAGTGTAAGCTTTCCAGTAGCATTTGGGTTTGTTCTGGTGCTGCAAGGGCCAGTTGTCTTCAGAATTCAGTCACTTGGAACTCCTTTGCTTTCAGGGGTCATTGCTGAGAACGTGAAACGTAATATTGATGCCCCATTAGAAAGAAATTAATTTGGCCATATTCCCACAATGCTGTTTTTGCAGCGCTACCCAGGGTGAAAAGTCACTGAAATCACGGTGACTCCTGTGTCAGTGTGCAACTGATGTGTAAGAAAATGTGTTTTCAGAAAGCCATTTTAAGATATTTCTGCTTGAATAAGTGGATTCCAAATCATGGGTTTATTAGTTGGAAATAAAAGGAATATGCCCACTCCCTTCAGTCTTCAGGTAAGAGAATATGAGGGAAATGTAGTCGGCACTGCAATTTGGGCTTATGTTCAGAAGTTGGCCCCAGAGGCTGCCTGCTTTTTGTTGCTTCTATAAGCTGAGCTCCTAACAGCACCTAAGAGTCCTTGCGTGTTTTATAAGCTCCTTGTGTATTCTTCTCTGAAACTTCTTGTGTGACTTCTCCCATCTTCCTCCGAACTCCAGAAGTCCTGTCCCTGCAGTACCGATTCTCTGTCCTTCTTGTTCCCTCCCATGCCAAGGATTTTTTGAATGCGTCCTTTTCCCACTCTGACACCTCTTCCTCTGCAGAGATTCTGTACTATTCCATACTGCTCTCTATGCCAAGGTTTTGTTTGCCCTTCCATTCTCAGCTCCTGCCAGTAGCTTTTTTTTCCCTGAGTCAACATTTTTAAGAGAGTATAGGGATGAGCTGAGGTGATTCAGACATTGTTATATTAGAATGTATTAGTGACAGCCATCAATGCATTTCTTGCTCTGCGGATGTTAAGCTTTCAGACTTTTTCCGTTTAGTAGAAACCTAAATGCTTTTTAGCAGAAGCGCAGACCATAGTTTAAGACTTGCCAGAAGGCTCATATTCATGAATATCTGTGCAGATGCTGCATCCAAAGATTTTGTTCCATGAATTGGGTGTGCTTGTGTGAATTGTGGCTACGTGATGCAAACCTTTGCAGTAAGACAGCATGGAAATATTTGTGCCTGCAGTCTAGGGTTATCTTTCCCTGAATAAGGCAGGGGTTGACCTTTCTCCATATACCTCAACTTCTCCTTCCCCCAGGCTTCTTTTTGGAGATTTAAGTAAAATATCGCTCATGTTGAGGACTGAGAGAGATCTGTAGATAAGATCTTTTTGTCACCTAGATTAGAATGTCTGGGATAGTGAAGAAGATACCTACTTGGCCTCACTGGTTTATTGTTTTTAAATGGTTTTGGATTCTTGAAAATGGCATCTGACTATTATTACAGTTATTTTTATTATTGGCACAATTTAAATATTATTAGAATCAGTGTGTTCATGGAGGTCAGATTGCTGGTAAGTACAGCTTGTTCTGGAAGCCACATGAAGGAATGAAATTTAAATCTTCAAACATTTTGGGCCATATTTTTTTAAGTCACATCGGAAATTGCATGCCTCAATTAATGTTTGTCCTCCTTTTTGCTTTGTGTTTTAAGTAACAAGCCAAACCCCAACCAGATCAATGTAAATAATGTCAAACCAGGAGTGGTAAATGGTACTGGAGTACAGGCACAGAACACGGGAGCAGGACGGGCCTGTGAAAGCTGTTATAGTAAGTGACATGCCAGTATGGCAGTTGTGCATAGAGAGTGTGAATGCTGTGTTGCAAACAGTAAATTAAAAGCTGTGTTGTGGTGGGGGGTGGGAGAGAAGGCTTTGGAAGGGTGGGGAGACAGAATTTGACATAGCAGCATTTAAGCAAAGGGTCTTTTTGGGTTACTGGTGTTATATTTGTAAATAAAATTATGAAGTCCTAGAGGGGGAGTTAGTAAATATCCTACGTAATTGCAGGTAGCTGTAGAGCAAAGACTTAAAACACCAAGGTGTGAACTTGACAATTTTTTCATATTTTTTTAGTAGATTTCAAAATATGTGATATCATTGTATTTGGTCTGCTGCCTGATACTAATATACTGAGTTCTAATGATTGTGCTCCTTTATGGGGAGCCTTTAGAGATGCTGAAATGTAGGACTGTACAAGAAGTCAAGTCACAGATTTCTTAATGTTCTTTAGCTGAAAAATTAATGTATGGGGAGTTCCTGAAGACAATCTTCCCTCTCTCTCTCTCCCATATTCTGCAGAAATTGTTGTCTACCAATCTTGCTAAATGAGAGCTTTCAGTTTCATTGGCAGGAAATTCTCCCATCCTACTAGTTGTTTTTTTCTGTTCATGTTTTAAAAGGGATTTATATGTGTAATTATTTCTGCTGAAATCACAAGTACATTTAACAGTGGTGATGACAGCGAAGCCATCATCAGGTTTTTAAGGTCTGTTTGAGCTTTGCACTGTCTTTGTGTGGGTTTTCTTTTGTGATGGTTCTGAAAAGAATAAGCTCTGAAAAGTGATCCTGTTTAAGGATATATATAATTTCCACCTTTGTTATCTCTAGCCACACAGTCTTACCAGTGGTATTCTTGGGGTCCCCCTAACATGCAGTGTCGCCTCTGTGCATCCTGTTGGACGTACTGGAAGAAATACGGTGGCTTGAAAATGCCAACACGGTTGGATGGGGAGAGGCCAGGACCAAACCGCAATAATTTGGTAGGTATCTGCAAAGCAGTCTGCTCAGTACTCTTGCCTGGGAAGCTAGGTGCCATGATATCTAACTAATTGTTCACTGTTCTTAAATATTTAACAACTAAAAGAATGCCTTTAGCCTCCATTGTTGTCCTTGGGTTTGGTATTTCATGTCTTGCAAAAGCTGGCACGTTAACTTCGGCTATAAGTAATTTGTTGCCAAGTATTGCCCTGAGAAAAAAAAACATCATTTGTTTAGCAAACTAGCCATCAAATGCATGGGATAACTTAATGAAGATGGAAAAAACTGAAATGCTAGCCAGTGTTTCTGGTATTCGGTTTCCATGATTTTTGCTGTAAGGGGAAGAGGACTTTTTTTTTCCCATAAAGGAATTATTTACTGAAACTGTTCCCTTTCCCAAGGCACATTCCAAATTAGATACCCCAAATAGCTAGTGGCTTTTTAGAGATCCCTTATCTTGTTTTTCTACTTCATCCTATTTTTTTTAATTAATCCTCCTTCCTTTTGGATAGGTTTTGAGTAAGCATTGTATGAGCTGCTTCTGTTTAATTTTTCCCCTTTTACTTAAAAACCAAAATTCTCAGAATTTTTCTGAATTTGGTGGAAGTTCAGTCTGGAAGCATCATATGTTGAGCTGATTGGAAAAAGTAGCTGCATCACATGGACAGAAGGATAGTGCACACTGAACTTTGGTCTTAGATTAATTCCTTTCCTCTCTCCTAGTCTTTGCTATGGTTCCCTTTCTATTCTATTTCTTTCGTTTAACCTCTGTCCTTTTCGGGCTTCTGTTTGCCCTCTGAAGCTACCTAATTGCTGAGAAAACTGCCAGGTTTTATCAGCCTTATACCTCTTGTTTGTTAATTAAAAAGTATGTAAATAGTCAGAGAGGGGAAAATCTTGTTCTCCCTAAACTGAAATTTCCTCCTATTTTCCAACCGTGGGCAGGTTTGAGATAACAGGATACTACTTTCATTATTTTATTGGTTGACGTAGTTGGTTTTCATGAAGAAATACTGCTTTTGCTCTCTGTAGTAGAGAACCGTCTTTCAGTATTATTCTTTATTACATGCAGTGAATATTTGACAACTCTGTAAAAAATGCATTCATTGAGTTCAGAATAAGAATGAAAACAGAAATTCTTGCAACTTTTGAGACAAAAACATTCTTGCATGCTGTAAGTTTGCTTTGGGAAGTGAGTTTGTGATGTATATTTTAGCTGTACAGTTACTTTCTGATTTTCCTCTCCCTCTTACAAATGCTTTTTTATAAGGTGTTTGCATTGTATATCCAGAGCAACTCTAAGCACCCAAAGTTTGAGAGTCTTTCTGTTGGCTCTGTAAGCACTAAATCATGTGATAGCATCAGGTAACTTCTTTAGGTCTGGCTTTTCGATCCCTGCTTTAAAACTTGGGATAGCACAGAAATAAGTACTTCCCTGTGAAGAGAAAATGTTTATCTTTGTTTTATCCTTTAAGCTATTTTGGAAGAAAATTCCAAATGTTGATGGGTAAGGTGTGGGAAATGGGGAATAGCTGGGCTGAAAATATTTTCATCTGTAATACTGTTTCTGTTCTTATGTCTGTGAATCAGTAGTTGAAAGTGATTTTATATGATATTCTTTCTCTTGTTTAAAACCATACTTTCTAATAATTATTTTTTAGAAACCATATTTCTTTTTCTTTCTTTCTAGAGTCCTCATGGTGTGCCAGTACGAAACAGTGGGAGTCCCAAGTTTGCTATGAAGACACGACAAGCTTTCTATCTCCATACAACAAAACTGACAAGAATTGCCAGACGTTTATGTCGAGATATCTTGCGCCCTTGGCATGCTGCAAGACATCCCTATCTGCCTATTAACAGCGCAGCAATCAAAGCAGAATGTGAGTGGTGATGAAGCTGAACACCTACTTGCAAAGGAGCCCTTTGAGATTCCTTCCTTGTAAAGTTTGAGTTGCAACTTCTTGAGACGCTCTCTTGCTCGTAGCTAGTGGTTTCACAAAATCTGACTATACTTGCAGAGTGTTCTAAATGATCGCAGGCTAGACAAGTAACTTAAATTCATGAGTTGTTGTTTGTTTTAAAACGTTCATGTTTGCTATTACGTTTAGCATTCTCCTGCATTTGTGTCCTCCTGCCAAGACATGCTTTTGCAACCTGTAGAATTCCTTTTGATTGGAAAGCTCTTTTGGGACACTTGAGTTACTAATTTAGTTTTACTATAATATCTAGATGTCTTTATCCTCTAATTATTTTTCTTTGTTTTACAGGCACAGCACGTTTACCTGAGGCATCAGAAAACCCATTGCTATTAAAGCAAGTGGTTCGAAAGCCTTTAGAAGCAGTACTCCGGTATTTAGGTATTAATTAAAAAAATCTAAAAAAATTAAAAAAAAAAAAAAACACACCAAAAAAACACACCACCAAACACAAAAACCCTCAACCAAACAAAAAACCCTACTAGCTAATTCTGCTAACCGTTTCTTTTTCCATTTGTTTCTGCATTTGGATGCTGGTTCTGGATTCAAAAACAAAACATGAAAACCCTCCCATGAACTTGTCCTTTTTCCTTTTCCTATTTAATTTGGCAGATCTAGTGGCTCAGCAGTCTACTGTGGGCTCACTGAGCTGTATCAGAAACTGTTTCAAGTGAAGCAAGGGATGTGTTTGCTGTGGCCTCCGATGTATGTGGGGACAAGTTACCACCTGCTGATGGAGGCACGAACATAATGTTTTGGGAACAATTGGTCAGTCAGTCCCGTTGTTCCAATTTTTGAGCTGTCTGGAGGCAGTTCCTACGGTTGAGTCCTTCAAGAAGCCTCTCGGGTTTAGGACAGCACTGTGTCCCACAGCTTGTGAATCCATTGCTGGCTGTTCTCTGCTGGAGCTAGACAAGGAGACTATATTTCCATTCTTCACTTTCTTCTTGGTTTTTTCGGGTTTTTTTTACCGTTTTCTTTAAGGACTTGGGCCTCATCAGCTGATCTGTGGGGCTACTGAGTAGCTCTGTCCAAGACCTTGGTGTAAGTTTTAGGTGCTGGAAGAGGCCAGCTACATGACCTGCCAGCTCTGACTCCAAATGAATGCAAAATCATTTTCCCTACTGTTGCCAGTTGCTGGAGATACCCTGAAGACATGTCTCAGGTTGTTACAGCAGTCTAGTGTGAGTCTAACCACAGAAAGCTAGCTTGGACAGTGATACTTTGAAGGCTTCCAGGTTAACAAGGAAATTGATTGCCTTTTTACTCTGGTAAGAAACACTGGAGTTGATTTTGTGTTTCTTTGAATATTTTTGTTGATTAAATATTGTAAGGCTCAGGGTTTATTAAATATTTACTGCTTCTCTGTTGAGTGTTGCACTTCTGCTGTATATTGATGAGATACACAGATTGAGAAACCTTTGGATATGTATAGTGCAACCAAGTAAAGCCAATAAAGGGAGAAGTTTTGCTGTTGGATAAAATCCTGCTTTTAGTAGTTGTACAGAATGTAGCAGTAGATTTTGAGATTTCATTAGTGCTGTGTCAGGGTCTCCATTTGACTATTGAGCTGGGAGAAGGGAGTGAAAGAAACGGAGAGAGGCTGATGGACTGGCGAGAATGTATTTTTGGAGGTGTCGTGCTCAGTGTGCTTTAAGTTGTATGTTATTTGACCGTTTGGGCTGTGAGAGAAAAACTTGGTTGAAGCTCCCATTTGCTGTTGCTTGAAACTTTCTCAAAATCTTTTCAGTTGAACAGAGTGTGCTTGATCTCTGCCGTGGCCAAAAGTTTGAATTCAGACTCTGTGTGTGCTTTATGGTGGTGCTTTGAATCCTCACTTGTTTGGCTAGTTTAGAAATTGTATTTTTTACAAACCTTGCAAAACTGGCAAAGTTGTAATTTCCGCAGAGTTTAGGGGTGTTGCATGATTGCCCAAAGGTGGCTTTTACTATAGAGCACCCCCAAAATGATCCCAGATTGTCGGAGCATAGCGTTTTGGATACAAAGTGCTTTTGTTATCAACTCTTATTTTAGGATAATATTATGACATTGGTTTTAACATCTTCAGTAGAGGTGAATTCCTAAATGTACTTAAAATGCTTTATATAAAAAGCAATCTCCAGTCAAAATTATTGACTGAGATAGTTTGTGTGTAAGGGGAGGTATACTTGGTCACCTTGGAAGTTTGCAGGCTGTTTTCAGATTTATAATTCCAGTATCTTCACTAATAAAAAAAAAAACCCACCTTGCTGTTTTACAACAGAGTCTCATCCCTGTCCTCCGAAACCAGATCCTGCAAAGAGCTTGTCCAGTTCTCTCAACAATCTGACTCCTGCTAAGTTTACGCCTGTCATTAATAATGGGTCCCCAACTATCCTGGGAAAAAGAAGTTATGAACAACACAATGGAATGGATGGTAAATATTTTTCTGCAAAACGTATATTGTCTATATAGGCTTTTTTCTTCTGTCCTTTCAGTATACAAGGAGATGATGAAAACTATAGTCCTTTATATAAATTCCAAGTTTCTTATTCTTGAGGGAGATTAATTTTTTCCTTTTGTAGAAGTCGCTTGTCCCATTTCTCCTTCTGGGTGAGACACACGATGTGTACTGCCTGGGTGGTGCATGCACATAAAGCTACTGTGCTAGTGGAACTCAGCCTAGCTTGACCAACCTTGCAAATAGGATAGTGAAGGAGAAACTTCCCTTCAATTTTAAATGAGTAGCATGAAAAAAACCTTAATAGCTTTTTCCAGTGATGTTTCCTTTTTCTTTTGAGGTTTACAGCTTTTTTAACCTGTAGGTAGTAGCTGTGCAGTTCCCAGGTGGCTTTGTAACGTGTGGATCACCTGGCTTTCAGCAAAGCTACCAGAGGCTGCATGCCATTGAGAGAGGCAGGCTGCTGCTTAGCTGAGGGAGGCAGACGTGCCAGATCTGGCGTGGCATAAACCTGCTCCTGCCTTGCGCAGAACCGGAGCATTTGCTTTTGTTGGCCCTGTCACTGAGCACCTCTGTGCAGTGGAGTTTGGGCTTCATCTCCTCAAGAATAAAAGGCAAGGGGAAGGTGTTTGAAGTGGGAGATAGACGCAGGATGTTCCTGGCACGGACTCCAGGGCTCTTGTTCTGAAGAGTTGCTCTTGCCTGAGAGTGTCGGGGAAGAGAAAGTGCAGTCTTTTTCTCAGATGAGGATAAAAAGGTCTGTTCAAATGGTCTTAACGGGAGTAAGAACATGGAGGGTAGCTCTCCTTAACAGGAGAAAGGAACAGTTGTTTTAATGGTGACTCTGAGTAGGGAGGGAGATGCAGAGAATCTTTCTCACTTTTACCTTTATTTTAACTTTGTATGTGGCTTAACTAAAATATAATTACAAACATTTGATATCTTACTGTTTGTGTTTTAACATTAAGAACTTTTTAAACTGCTGCTGTTCAGGTTGCTGATGTCATGTTTTTCTCTTTTCTGTTCACTTGTGCTCTATCAGGCAACATGAAGAAGCGCCTGTTGATGCCTAGCAGGGGTAAGACCTTGAAGCTGCGCTCAGCTTATGCTAGGAGAGTGATTTTTAGTTTCATCTGCTGGCTTGTCTGCTTTGTGGCTAATGAGTCTGTGTGCACCTTCTGTGTTGATGTCTAAGTGTTCCTTGGGTAACCATTTCCACCCATGGTTATGCTGCTCACCTTCCAGGCTTTTCACATGCAGATGACAAGTCTTACAACCGTACTGAAGATGTGAAGTGCTATGTTCAGAATTGATTACCAATTCCTCAAGTTGACAGAACAGTTTTCTGGCAGTTTTGTGAAGCTGCTGAAAGCTGTGATGGTTGGTTTGAAACTAGGTGGTGTTTCACTGTTTGACTTTTAAGAAATCCAAGTTTCATGCGTCCTGAACTACTTTAAATTCACATTGACCAAAAGAAATAGAAGACAGTATTCACATCGAGTCCCAAATTCAAGCCTCTGTATTTTCCACTGTGAGTGGATGGTCTCCCCAGTGAGAGACTGTGTGTTCTCTATTTGCAGTATAACTGGTTTTCAAAATTTTCACAGGTTAAAAATTAATCTGTTCTGACTACTGAATAGACCTCGGAAGCTTTAATTTGTGATAATGCAGGAAACGTACATACGATGTCACTTAACCAAATTCAATAGAACAGACCAATTTTGAATAGTTAGGATATACAAATATCATCGTGAGACAGGCAAACACAAAAACTTAAGCTTACATGTTACCATGAAATGGCCCACACTGCATGCCCTGATGTTAAGCTTTGTGTTTAATGGCTGAGACAGTGGATGACTGTTACAAATATTTACATGCATGCATATATAAGTGCATGTGGAGAATACAATAAGAATGAGGACAGTGGTCGTTCTACTGTCTTGCTCTCTTTGGGAATTTATACCTTGATATTGTGTTGCTGAGTTTTTAATGTGCTTTTTAACTTTTGTGTTTGGGGAAGAATAACAAAACCCTGCTGCCTTGGTCAGTTTGGCTTCCTTGGAAGCTTTGTCCAGTAATGAGGGATGTAGATGCGGAGTAGCTTACTGAATTTCCACAGCTCCTAGTGACAACCTGATTATGGGCATGTCTGCTGCTCCCTTCTAAATGTCCTCATCAGCAAGGGGACTGCTGAGTCACTCAGCAGATGACACACTTCTGAAGCTCTGAGATGTTGTGGCCCAAAGGAGGGAAGTGGAAGAACAACTGACCCTTCCCTCAGGCTCTTTCTGCGTAGAGCACTGGATTTGATAACCTCAGACGGTTTACTTTCTGGAAATGGAGGATTCTTGTTTTAGTGTTTTAAAACATCTGTCTGCTGGTATACATATTTGATTAGATACATTTCAGCCATAACTGTTGCTGGAGTGGTTTGCAAAAAGAAGATTTTGGTGAAGTACCTGTTCTGGCTGCTCAGAATATGTGTTTCTCTGAAGCATATGCCTGTAGTTGTGCAGGGGCCGACTCTCACCGAGCGCTTGCTGCTTTATCTGCTCGGTCTGTTCTCGGCCAGCCACTGAAATACTTGGAGTAGTATTTGTAGTATTTGCCAGGTAGCAGAGTACGAATCAGTCCCAGAATCTGTTTACCTGCTGAGGTAGTGGGTGTTAACTGGATATTCTTGTGAGCTGTTCAGCTTAAACTTGTTGGTTGAGATTTATTTGTGAATGGAAAATGTTTGTCATGCTGCAGTTTTGACATTTGGAATATTTTCTGACCCTGGGTTGCTGGAAGCTTTGCCGAGACGGAGAGGGAAGGGAACCACCTGTAAGGAAACAAGGTTTAAAGAACTTGGATCAAGATCTGCTGGGCACAGGGAAACAGATGGTGGAAGTTCAGTGGATCTATTTCTGGCCTGGAGCCAGTTTGCATGCCAGTGCCGCTTAGCACAGGTTCCCAGTTGCCTTGCGTGTGAGCTGGTAAGCTTTACTGGCTCTGGGCATGGCTAATGCTGGTTTCCTGTGCTGTGCCAGAACTGGGAACATGGTGCTGAGTCTTCTCCTTGGCTCTGGATGGAGTCATACAGGCTTACTAGTTTGGGGGGCTGCTGGTGGGAAGGGAGAGGAGGACATCAGAGGAGAGGAAGAGCACAAGTTGGAACCGTTGTGAAGAAGGGGTGAATGGCAGCGAGAGTGATGAAGCCTTGTGACCAGAATTTAGGAGCCAATGAGTTAGTATAAAAGGATTGAAATAAACCCATCTATCCAGACTGACTGATTTTTTTTTTTTTTTTTTTTTAGTACAACTGACCTAAAATAGAAAAAAAGATTGATGAGAGTAAAACTGAATTGTTGTAACCAGTCAGATGCTTCATTTACATAGCTCCTATAGATACTATCGGAAATTGTGGCGGGGGGGGGGTGTTGTTTTTATGTTTTTCCTCTCCCCTTAGTGATACACGGTGGCATACTGGGTGGTTTAGGTCGTTGTAGGAGTGTACTGCAAAGAAAAGCTGGTGTTAAGACAACTGAACGAGGAGACTGAAAATACTCTTTCTGCACAAACTTAAGTGCAGGGAGACACTTTGTCCACCTATGTTGAAAGAGTTTTCAAGAAGATGTTAACTTACTGCAATGTTACATGAATTATCCAGGGATTTTTGT